AAAGCTGAGACATACTCGCCATATTATAAAAATTACTATGCTACATAGTAAAACCAGATTATATTAAAATTTGCTATTCAACATAGTAATTTTTCTTTGTTCAGAAATAATTCTAATATTAAAGAAAGAGAAAATATAAATTTATATTCATTATGCGCAGGGAATATTACATGTAACTAACAAAAGATTAAGAAATAGTTTGTATTAATTTTTTTTCTTTAAGATCATAGATATAGATACGTTGTAAGAATATTTTTATTTAATAAGTAATCTCCTCTGACCGGGAATTGAACCTCCGTCCTTCGGTGTTGACCACAGATAATTAGTCGATTCAAAATTATTTGCCTGCACGTATCAATTTTTAACCCCTGTAAATCACAAAATATGTTTTTCGTAATATTAACATTAGTATAACCTCAAATTTGGAACTCAATAGGCGTGTACACCTATAAATGACGTATAAAATTACGTTCGAACATAGTAATTTTTACTATACTGAATAGTAATGCAGTGAAATTCGAGATTTTACTATGTCACATAGTAAATTTTACTTTAGAATGTGTAACATTTTGAAATGATTACAATAAAATTTACTATGTTGTATGGTAAAATTATATCATCACGATTTTTATTATGTCAAACATAGTAGTTTTTATTATGCTGCGGAATAATTTTTGTAGGGCTGCTGTTTAATAATAATAACTATTTAAAATATAATAAAAATTATTTTAAACGTAATAATTCGCGTCATTATGTGAGTGTATCTTTGTATTTATACCAAGCGGCTAAATTTATGCAAAACACTTCGTCTTGTATTTGAGATACGACCAAGCTGCGCAGTGTCCAAGCAAAAAGTACTATTTCAATAACAGGATTCAATTTTAATATTATTCCCTTATCACATTCAACTAAGTATTAAAATCAGTATGCTAACTTTAAATTTAAACTACCAAACTTTCATGATCCAAAACGCTTCCTCAGCCATTTGAAAACGTTTTTCAATGTGAAGTGTATTATAATAACAATATTGAAAAAATTGGTCAATACAGAAGTGTATGTTCAGAAGATCTATAATTTGCGTATTACAGATTATGTCTAAAAATAGGATGCAGAAAAATTAGATGGTGTATAACAATTTTTTGGAAATTTTTAAACTTTTGTGTTCGACACTTTGATGTAGGATTTGAATTTATAATTGTAACAAGCAAGAAAAAATTTTTTTTTCGTTGTTTTTGCATAAATATTGCTGAAGACAACGTCTGCATTACGATTTTTATAAAAACGTATGAGAAAAAAAAATTTTATTTAACGAGATCTGTAATTCTGAATACGAACGAGTGAAATGTAGGTAAAAAAAATTATATTTAAAAAACTGTTTTTTTTCTCAGAGCGCTGAACTACGAATGGGCACATATTATGTTAAAAAATAATGATAAAATTAGCCTTTTGTAAAACTTGACGTGAATCTCCTATAATTTCTGACTTAACATTTTGGATTAAAGGTTTTCGACCACTTTTTACGGATTTAAAAATTATGTTCTGGGTTGAATT